CTCAAACCAATGTGGGATCTCATAATCCACCCCCCTTCGGGGCCCAACGTCCTTACTGGTACATTGCCTCGTGTCCACCCCCTTCGGGGCTCAACCTCCGCGCTGACACGTCGCCCAGTGTTTGGCTCTCATACTATTTGTAATAGCCCAAGCTCACCGCTAGCAAATATTGTCCTCTTTGGGCTTTTCTTTTCGGGCTTCCTCTCAAGGTTTTTAAAACGTGTCTGCTAGGGAGAGGTTTTCACGCCCTTATAAAGAATGTTTCGTTCTCCTTTCCAACTGATGTGAGATCTCATAACCACCCCCTCTTCAGGGCCCAGCGTCCTCGCTGGCACTCGTTCCCTTCTCTCAACGTCCTTGCTGGCACACCACCTCGTGTCCACCCCCCTTCGAGCCTCAGCCTCCTCGCTGGCACATCACCTGATGTCTAGTTTTGCTACCATTTGTAATAGACCAAGCCCACCGCTACCAGATATTGTCCTCTTTGGGCCTTCCCTTTCGGGCTTCCCCTCAACGTTTTTAAAATGCGTATGCTAAGGAGAGATTTTCACACCTTTATAAAGAATGTTTCATTCTCCTCCCCAACCAATGTAGGATCTCAAACAGATTCTCTCAATTCAAACCCATTGAAAGGAGCTTAGTATTCATGAAAATGGAAAGATATTAAAATTGCACCAAAGAATGTTAAAGTACCTTTGCAGTCACCTCCAAAGACTTTAGATAAAGTTCATTTCCAGGATCCTGAATGCAACAACAAAAAACCATGTCAAACTAGGAAAGCCATCAAGAAATGCATATTTATAAGCTCGCTCCACGGTTTTCTAGCTTCAGTACCTCATCCACAGCTTGCTTGAAGTATACCGACGCCTTATCAAAATAACTCTTTGCCTCATCCTGGTTCGGGTTCAAAAAGGCATGGGAAGTATAAGCATTTCCTAAGCACCAAAGAGCACCATGCTTCTTGGGGTTAATCAATAGTGCCTCCTCCAGCTTAGCTATTGAATCTGTCTCAACCCCATTTCAAATTAACCCACAATATACTCAATGTCCATCACCAAAATCATTAGATTAGAAGAAAAAGGCAAGGAAAATCTTAGAGCAGCAACAAATTAAAGTCAAGCAAAAATGTTCTCAATTCCCATGCTTCATCATCCAACTGGGTAGAACAAAAAGATACCTAGAATCATCTTCTTCGATTCTATAACGCTTTGAAACTGAGATAGCTCCAACAAAGCTCCTGCCCATCTTGTCAAATTCTACATGAAATTCCATACATTTGATAATCAAATACAGCTCAAGAGTCATAAACACAACACCGATTAAAGAAAAAACGCCCATTATCTAATAAACGACAGGATTAGTTTCAAACATTTAAACAGAGTTCTAAGCTGACAGCCAAATGGCAACTCGGATATGAACAGGGAGCCATTACTTTCCTTTATTTTCACTCCCTCTAGCAATCAAAATGCAAGAATTGGGGCCTTATCTTGTGATTAACTCATAGAAATTGAGGCCATGGCTTAAAATCATCATGTAATTGCAGCACTATGCTCCTATGGATGAATGACGACAACTAAAAAGCTAATTAACACCCAAATTTCAAGCACAATTGAAACCAACCCTCGAGTTTCATAACATTTTATAGAATTAAACATAATCCTCCACAAACCCAACAAAAACAAAAACAGCCACAAAATCAACATAAACAGCGCAATGAGCAAATTAAGAGACGAAAAAAGAACAAGAAAAGAAAACTCACATCGGCATCGAGGGGATTCTGGGCGTATGAAGCTTCGGCATTCTTCCGAGCGTGCTCGAAGAAAAGTAAGCGATCGAAATCGCTCGGCTGCAAATCCATTCGAAGAAAATAGAAGGATCGGGAGCTTTGAAAATCCTTGTTTGAGAAACTATGAAATTGGAGAGGAAGAAGAGATGGCGCTTCGGCAATGGAGGACACGTCCAGACCGGAGGAACCAGCTTGATTCTCGATTCCCCATTCCGTACCGAGTTTGAACGATGGGCCGGAAAAGAATTGGGCCCATTTACGTTCTTATAAGCCCATCTTCACACATCCTCAAACAAAATTAATATTAATAATAATAATAATAATAATAATAATAATAATTCAACTTTTCTCTATATCTACGTGTAATTAATTTTGTAGAAAATTTTAAAGCCCGAAAGGGAAAGCACGAAAAGGACCATGTCTGCTAGCTGTAGATCTGAGCCGTTACAAATAGTATTAAAGCCAGACACTGGACGATGTGTTAGCCTTCTCGCAGTTCCCCGAAGGGGGGTAGACACGAGGCGGTGTTCTAGTAAGGACACTGGCCCCAAAGAGGGGTGGATTTGGGGACGGTCCCACATCGATTGGAGGAAGGAAAGAGTGTCAGCAAGGACGCTGGGCCTCGAAGGGGGGTGGATTGATTTATAAGGGTGTGGAAACCTTCCTCTAGTAGATGCATTTTAAAGCCTTGAGGGGAAGCCCGAAAGGGAAAGCCTAAAGAGAACAATATCTGTTAGTGATGAATCTAGGCCGTTACACAAGAATTGAAGTAAGAGGTGGGGATGGAGACACGATAAATTTCTCATCCCTACCCTATTCTGTGTTACAATCACATTCTTGCAGCAGCGGGACAAAAATTGTGGAGCATTGTGAGAAATTCGAACTTTGCGGATAATGTTAGAGTATGCTCGAGTTTCAAGTCACGTTTGCTATAAATGTTTTAGAAAATCTTATTGAAAACAATTTGAAGGAATCACACATGGGTTACCCGAGAAAAAGTTCACACTCATTGTGAGATCCCACATTAGTAGGAGAGGAGAACGAAACGTTCCTTATAAGGGCGTGGCTAACGGTGATACGTAATAAGCTAAAACGAGACAATATATCAATATATGCTAGTGGTGGGATTGGGCTGTTACACGTTTATTGATGGTTCGTGAATTGCGCATATTTGAAATGAAGGCTCTTTCACTTTGAAAATGGTGGTCGTCGACTAAGAGCAAATAAAGAAGAAGGAAAAAAGTGACGACGACTACAATGACGATGGCTAGTGGTGACCGACGACAGTCGACTTTAGGGTTTTAGTTAGAGACAAGACGGAGATTAAAAACTATATTTTTTAAAAAATTAAAGATATTCACATTTATTATTATTGTTATTATTATTATTATTTTATAAATTAATTAGAACCTTCCAAATCCAAACAAACAAATATTAATTATAAAGAAATTAATTTATAAAAAACTTCATTAATATATATAAATTATAAACAATTCAACCAAACAAAGCATCCACCAACTTTTATTGTTTTTATATATTAAAATAGCATTAAAAAAATAAATAAATAAACCCACCCATGTGCTTATTTGTAAATAATAATTACAATAATAAATATAATTTAAAATTGTTGCTAAATTACTAGACATTATAGATAAGATTGAAAAAAAAAAAAAGTGAGACATATGAATAATTGCATATAGGGGCCTATAATTTAATTAATTACATGTTTGCCCACGTGCTATCGTTTTTTTGGTGATTCAAATCTCTAATATTTTGAATGCTCGAGTTTTCTTAGAAAAAAAAAATTCTAAAAGTTCATGTAACATAGAATTACTCGAACCGAAACATGTTTAACTTTGAATTTCCTATGTCGTCGTCAGTTCGAATTGTAGGCTGCATGAAGCTAGAATCGCGAGTAATCGTCGGTCAGCTATACGGCGGTGAATTCATTCCCGAGCCTTGTACACACTGCCCGTCACACTATGGGAGCTGGGCATGGCTGAAGTCGTTACCTTAATTGCAAGGAGGGGGTGTTGAAGGCAGGGCTAGTGACTGGAGTGGTCATAATGAGGTAGCTGAACTGGAAGGTGCGGCTGGATCACCTCATTTTCAGGGAGAGCGCTAATGTTTGTTGGGTATTTTGGTGCGAGCTACGTTTGAGTTAAACTTGGAGATGACTATGATTTAGCTACCAGAAAGGTATTTTAAAGTTTTTTTCAACAATCATATTGGCATGATCACTCTCGTTCTCGGTTTTTATAAATGGTATCAGAGTCAGACACCGGACGGTGTGATATCAAGGACGCTAGCCCCCAAAGAAGACGGATTGCGAGAGATCCCATATTGGTTGGGAGAGGGGGAACGAAACATTTCTCCCTAATAGACGCGTTTTAAAATTGTGAGATTGACGACGATACGTAACGAGCCAAAGCGGACAATATCTATTAGGGTGGTTTGGGCAGTTACAAAAGTTTCAGTTCATTCATATACTCCTCATTAACTCGGACGTTACAATAACATATATATATATATATATATATATATATATATATATATTTATTTATTGATGTATGATAGATACAAGCATACATACATGCACACACGTGTCGTTATAATTTGATATTGCCAAACAATGGATATGGACTTCATACCGTACACAAAGGGATTTGCCAGCTATTTTTTTTTAATTTTTATTAAAATAAAATGATTTTACATTTTTGCCCCTACATTACTTTACAAATTACGGGGAAAAAATTTATTTATATTTTGAATAATGAGATTTGAAATATTTGATAAAAGACTTTTATTTTATTTTATTTTATTATATTATGATTTAACTTTTATTAATTTATTTTGTGAGTGTTCATACCATATACTCGAGTAAGATTTCTATATGAAAATGTCTTATAATATTATTTTTATCGATATTTTATAATACAAGTTAATTTATATTATTTTAGAATTAAATATTAATTTTTATTTTAACATTATGTTAGGGTATATTTAATTAATTAATTAACTATGTTTTTTCAATTATTTTTATTTTGAATTTTTATTTAGTTAAATATAATTTCATTCGTGCTAACTACGTATATAAATATAATAAAAAGAAAAAATTGAATGTAGTGGCAATATAGTAATTGTAAAACTCTACAAGGGCAATTTCGTCATATGCTTCTTTAAATACCCATAGATTCTTCTTGTTTACTCCTCTTCCCCTGTCGCTCGGCTTCTCAGCCAAGCAGATAAAGAGCCTTCTTTTTCGCCTTCTCGCGATTCGCGATCCCTAAATCTAGGGCTTCTCACTTCAGTAAGTCTTCAAAATCCATAAATCTCTCGCCTCTCTTACAGTTTCATCTTAATTTTCCGAGTTCTTTCCTTATCTGTTTATATTTGGTGATTTATTTCACTCGATTAACTTCATTTTTGTTCATTGCTTATTCATTCATTTCTTAATTGTCTCTCTGGATCTCTTTTTTACTTGTTTTATCTTTTGATTTATGGTTTTTTTTTTTTGGGAAGTTTTGTTGTGATTGTAGCGAATTGTTAAGACCTAGATTTGGAGTTGTGTACTACAAGGGAAGTTCGAATTGTGAAAGGGAGTGTTCTTAAGCCTACTTCGATTCGTGTTTGACTTTGTTTTGAGTTTGAATTGTGAATTGGAGATGGGGTTTTGACTTTGGTTTACTGTGATGATTTGTTCGAAATTCGGATGATTGGATCTGGGTACCTTGAAATGTGTTTCTAGAACTGTTTTTAACGCACATGCTTGCATCTGTTCTCTGGAATTTCTGACTTTTGTTGGGGATCCTGTTCTGTTTTCTTAAGTGGCCAGGAAATGAACTTTTAAGGGGTTTTCCACTGTTATGTTTGGTTGTGAAGTGTGATTGGAGTTTGACATGGTTGACAGAGTTTCGTTTGGGACTGATTTTGTTTCCTAAAGATTGATTTTGAGAAAGGGTTCAATTGTTTTTTCTTAAGTAAAAAGATCTTGCTCTGTATTATGAGAGTAACACGATTCCGTTCGACTAGTTACAATACTAACTACGCTCATGTGTTATTCCAATGGTTTCTCCAAAAGTAGTTCTACTTCTTGATCATGTGTTTGGGCTAAGTAGTGCTATGTGAGATCCCACATTGGTTGGAGAGGGGAACAAACCATTCTTTATAAGTGTATGGAAACCTCTTCCTAGTAGACGCGTTTTAAAAACCTTGAGGGGAAGCTTAAAAGGGAAAGTCCAAGGAGGATAATATCTGCTAGCGGTGGGCTTGTGTCGTTACAAATGGTATTAGAGCCAGACATCGGGCGATGTGCCAGCGAGGAGGTTGAACCTCGAAGGTGGGTGGACACCAGGCGGTGTGCCAACAAGGACGCTGGGCTCGGAAGGGGGGTGGATTGGGGGATCCCACATCGATTGGAGAGGGAAATGAGTGTCAGCGAGGACGCTGGGCCCCAAAGGGAGGTGGATCGTGAGATTCCACATCGATTGGAGAGGGGAACGAAACATTTTTATAAGTGTGTGGAAACCTCTTCCTAGCATATGCGTTTTAAAAACCTTGAGGGGAAGCCCGGAAAGGAAAGCCCAAAGAGGACAATATCGGCTAGCGGTGGGCTTGGGTCGTTATATGCTATGGCTAGGGTGTGATAGACACTGTTTCAGTATGAGTTATCCTTTATTATCCCAATATTTATAGTTTCTTCTCTCTCTCTCTCTTTGTGGGTAATGAGAGTGAACTTATTTTTATTTTCCTCTTTACTATTGCTTAAAGGGATCTTCGTTCATCCTTATCACAATCAAGCGCTGCAAAATGGATGGTTCATATAGCTTTTGGCAATTGGGAGATGAGCTGCGTGGTCAGATGAAAGTCTCTGAGGATCATAAATGGTTATGGGCTGCATCTAAACTGGCTGAGCAGACAAGATTGAAGGGAGAGCGTCTGAATAACCTTGATTTTTCAAAGAGCTCTCTCGATGCAAGGCCAAGAGAAAAGTTCGGTTTTCAGGAAGATAACAAATTCGAAAGCTTCAATTTTAACATGTTGAGCTTGGATTCGAAAACGAACGATACGGTTAACAAAAATCCATTGAGGAATGAGATTTACAACATGAGTGCAGTTTATGGCAAGAACAATACAAATGTTGCAGGAAGCCTACATGGTACCAAGTACAGTAGCAATGACTTCGTCAACAAAGATCTTACCAATTACAGCAGCTCCAACAATAATGTTGGTGAAAACGCTAACTCAGTGAATTCGATTGACAAAAGGTTCAAGACACTGCCAGCGACCGAAACACTGCCCAGAAATGAAGTACTCGGTGGATACATCTTTGTCTGTAACAACGATACCATGCAGGAAGATTTGAAGCGACAACTTTTTGGTAATTGTGCTAACTTTTCTGACCTTGGCATGGCCTGTACGAATCACTTTGTGCCTATTACACTAACTACATGCTTATCAAGATGAACTGCTCGAAGTTTGAATTAAATTTCTTACGAGAATTCTCGGAACTATGTTCAAGCTCGTAATACATTGTGGTAGGCTAACAGAAATAGTTAGTGGCACAATCTCATATTTTGTATGTTGCAGGTTTGCCTCCGAGATATCGGGACTCCGTGCGTGCAATAACACCAGGGTTGCCTCTGTTTCTCTATAACTACACTACCCATCAATTACATGGCATTTTTGAGGTTTGTCATCTTTCTATTTACATAATTTTCCTTTTAGTTTCATCATGACAAACATTTTCTCAAGTTTAGATTCAATAATATGTGATAACAGGTAGAAAATATACCAGTAGTCCCGAGGGCGTTGATAATCGGTCATGCAATATATCAATCCATGTCATAATGGCTTAGTTCTTAAGATCTCCTTCTATTTCTTATATTTACAGTTCTTTAATGCCGATAAAGTAGTAGATGCTAGCGATATGTCACATTCGTCACTGTAAACTGTCCAATTTTTAATGTTTTTCGATATTGATTCTCGTGCAATGTCTCGTTTAAAGTTCGTTTCTACTGCTTATTTTGGTTTACGATTGGGTATTGCAGGCAGCAAGTTTTGGAGGTTCCAACATTGACCCAACTGCTTGGGAAGACAAGAAATGTAAGGGCGAATCCAGGTTCCCTGCTCAGGTAAAGTCTCGTCCGCAGTATTCTATTTTCGTGTGGCGTCGGAGGCTCATAGTTTGCTAATAAAACGCTCTTGTTTTTCGAATTAATAGGTTAAGATCCGTATCAGAAAGCTCTGCAGAGCATTAGAAGAAGATTCATTCAGGCCAGTCTTGCACCACTACGACGGTCCCAAATTCCGCCTCGAACTATCTATCCCAGAGGTACTGCAAAATTTCCCCCATCGTAAACCAATTGCTTTGTTTTATATTCAAAATCACTCTAAAACATTGTCGCTTTACTTCGGTTGTACAGACATTGGATCTTCTAGACCTGTGCGAACAGGCTGGTTCTGCATCGTAAAGCACCCATGGCGGGCTTACGTATCGAAATAACGAATGAAGAGGGCTCAATGGTTCCGGTCAGCAAAGGCTAAGACACAGATTTTCCAACGAGCGCAAGCTTAGGATGAGTCTGATAAGGCGAGAGTAGCGAGTTCAACGAGTCGAGGCGGAAGCCAAAATAAGCAAGGGAAGAAAAGAAAAGAAAAAACTTGTATCTTCTTGTATTGTTGTTGTATTGTATCAGACAAGGTGAGCTGATAATGTACTAGTGAATGGTAGAGCTTTATATATATATATATATATATATAAAGATATTCATTTAACTCGTAGGGTCCCACTACTTCCAACCAACGAACATCGCTGTGCTAACTCAGACATTGAGATGCACAAGTGATGTTCGATGGCGCTAAGACAAACCTTACCTAAGGTTCAATGAAACCACAAAATTGGACAAAAAACGTAGGTGGCTTGAGTTCCTCTCAAGGCTGGTCGTGAGCGTGTTAAAATCACGATGCCCACTGTTGAAAAAGTACATGTCTTTTCCTTTTCTTGCCCGAGCTAAGGGATCATTCAGTTTCTACTAACCTTAGCTTTAACAAAAAAAAGTCGGAAAGCACTGACCCCTATCTATCGGGTTCGGCAATGATGATATCCCCCAACGTACCAAAACTAGCTGATGAATTAGAGTGAACAGTTAGTTGGCGTACTCACAAGTAAGTAGGTTTTGTTCATTTCATGATGGATCTTGTAGGATTCTCGAGAAATTTTTTGATTTCTTCGTACGTTCATGACACAGAACTCGACTACTACAAGAAATTACTTTAAGAGGAAGGAAAGAAAGAGACTTTTTCTCGTTAGATAAATGGATACGGAGACGGAAAGGGTGGTCGGCCTTGGGGGCATTAGTCATTAGTTTAACGGCCGTTCATGTCATAAACGGTCAAATGAAAACGAAATGGCGCCAAATGTTCACCATTAGTACGGGTAATGGCCGTAAATAAATATCGTCACCCGCAATCAATCGAACCATTGAATCTTCCAAGCAAAATCACACATCTCCAATTCCTTCTTCACGCCTCTCTCTCTCTCTCTCTCTCTCTCTCTCTCACACACAGTTCCCATGGCTTCCCTTTCCTTTTCTTCTCTCTGCCTCACTGCAAATCCCTCTCCTCGCACATTCGGATCTGGAGCGTCCCACAGGTTTAACCACCTCACCACCTTCGGATCGTCGGCGAGTAAGAGATTTAGGTCTTCCATTTGCAGAGCTGCCTCCCTCGCCTTTCGCGATCTTGATGCAGATGATTTCCGCCATCCTCTTGACAAGCAGGTTCGAAAATTTTCACGTTTCCTCACTGACTTTTGTTTGCGTGTTTGCTTTTCTTTTTCGTATTTTTTGACTGTCATTTGTGAGATTGATGAAACGAGTTATCAGACAGATTAATATTTTGTTGTGTATGTTACGAGGAATTATTTGCTATGTTTGTTCTCTGCTAATGACGATGGAAGCATGTTTAATTGTGGATGAGAAAGTTTTGTGTTTCATATGACTGGAATAAACTTCAAGTTCAAAAAATTTCAATTATAAAATAACTAATTATTCCTAAAACGGTTTTTACTTGAATTGGATTATGTGAAGCACAAGAAATACACCGGCTGTATAGAGAGATCAGTCTTTTTGTTATATTTTGTTGTGTATGTTACGAGAAATTATTTGTTATGTTTGTTCTCTGCTAATGATGATGGAAGCATGTTCAATTGTGATGAGAAAGCTGATACTAATAGCCGCGTTGTCTATACAGCCGGTGTATTTCTTGTGCTTCTCATAATCCAATTCAAGTAAAAACTGTTTTAGGAATATTTAGTTATTGATTGAAAATTTTGAACTCGAAGTTTATTCCAGTCATATGGAACATAAATTTTTTAACAGATTCAAAATTATCTACACAAGGCCTTAGTTTCCTTTATTCTCATACGTGAAAGTTTTTTGTGTTTATAATGGTCGATGGCCGAGGGGTTTCTATTATTATGCTTGGATGAAAAGGAAAAAAATAACCAGAGAAATGAAAAGAAGAAAATGGAGAAATTTGAGGGAATAGGGGAGCTACAAAAGAAGATAGAACTCGATTAAATTATCCAAATGACATATCTGTAATTCATTTTCAAACACTTCCTACAGATGTGGACTCGAATATTTCTTTTGATTTCTGAGGATTAACGTTTGGACTATTAATATAAAACGAGGATATTATGACATGATAGGAACTTGAGCTTATTTAAATTACCATTGCACCCAAACGTGTTAGCTGTTGAGTTAGGTCGAGTTCTTTCCAATTCATTCTTTTAGTCAGGAAAAATTCCTCGCAGGGAGTGATGTCTACTGGACAATGACTCAACAGTTAATAAATGTACCATATTCAAGTCTCTCTATTTCTTCGTAGAGTTAAGAGCAATCATCACATGAAAGTCTCAGATTGAAGTAGCTTATGGTCATAGATTTTATTTATTTTTTAATATCCTCTTGCTCAAGTCAAGAATTATTCTCTCATGCAGAACACAATGATTTTGCGGGCAATTCCAGGGTTGAGCGAGCTTGGGAAGGTTTTATTGGGTAAGAGAACTGATGAACTTTCTGAATGATCTTCGAGCGTCCAATTGATAAAAACATGCCTGTTGGAAAACAACCGTCTAGCTTCTGCTGAGTTTCCAGTTCAAGTATACATATTTTTATGACTGCAGCATGACTGGGTTGTTACAAGTTAGAGTTTAGCTTGTGAATGTTTTCCCGTCAATGAACATACGAAAGAGCTTTAATAATTCTGATCTAGGTTGTTGATGTTTTCATGATGATGATAAAGTCATTAAAGACTGTAAACATGTTTTATATATAAGGTCCTGTGAGCATAAATTATTTTTTTATATTCATGAGCGTTCATTCCTGTTTACCTGCACCTCAACAATTTTGAAGGACAGTTGCTTGACATTACTACATTTGGTTATTGAAAAAACTGGTAGGATACTAAATTCTGCATAGTTAACCACCATAACCTTAATTTGTTTCCTCTAACCCTTTTACTAATTACATTTGGCCTTATTGGTCACTAAGCAAACTAATGGTGGTTTCGTGAACATAATTTATTTATTTATTTCTTTTATGCATTATATATTTCAATCAGTTACTTCCATATCTGGTTTTGCCCTCGTTTGGCTACCTAGTTCTAATATTTTTTCCGTTAATGGCTCTGTTGTTTTGTCATTGCAGGAACCGTGACTGAACAAGTCATGCTCCTTGAGAACATAGGAACATCAATACTTGTTTCTGAAAATCAGGTGTTTGAACCCTAAAAATCCATTATCTGACGCTTATATATTTTGCTTTACACCTTTTTAAAGATTTGACTCATTAGAAATCGAATATTTTCCCCTATGAGTTCTTTTTTTTTTTTTCAATCAGAAATGCACTAAGATGAAAAGACTGGTCTGAATCTTACTAATAAATTAGTATCTTCCAATCAAATTACACACAAAACTTATGCATCTTTTCTCTTACTAAACTTAAAGACTATCTCTTAGCAGTTAGCTCTTCCAACTCTACTTTATCACTTGGATAAATGGTGGGAGTGCATTTAAGTTTATGCATTTGGGTATCGGGATTTCCATTCAGATATGCAAAAAAATTGCTTCTCGCAGAAATTCCTTGCAGTTTATATGGACATTGTATGATGAACATTAGTTGTTCCTTACTAGGTGAACATGATGGGATTAAGCATGACATTTATAGCTAATGTGGAGCATATGTTTCTTCCCTGTTCAGCTTTCAAATCTTTATCAATTGATAATTGAGGCCGCCAAAGTACTCAATGTTGAGGCTCCGGATCTATACGTTCGTCAAAATCCTGTGCCAAATGCTTATACATTAGCCATAAGTGGCAAAAAGCCGTTTATTGTTGTTCATACTGGCCTTGTGGAGCTTCTTACACAAAAAGAATTGCAGGTATTCAATTATCTTATAATAGGCACATGCTAAGTCTTGGGTTGCTGAATCAATTTGTAGCTTCATTTCTTTCATTGCAAAAAAGACATAAAATGCTTAGCATGGACATCATTGGTAAAAAAACATGGCCATGTCATAACGTGGAACTCAAGTGTATTTTTTATTTATTATTTCATTATTGATGCTATTGCTATGTAACTTCTATCACTTGAAATTTTCAGGCTGTTTTGGCTCATGAATTGGGTCATCTAAAATGTGACCATGGTGTGTGGCTTACATTTGCCAATATTCTTACCCTGGGAGCTTATACTGTACCGGGTAAGCATTTAAATGACGGTTTGATTAGCATAATATAATTGTTGGGGCTAATTTGTTAATTGATCCTGTTAGAGAATGGAGGAGTAACTATTGAGTACCAATGCAACATTCTAATTCTAAAAGACAAAGTTATCGAGTGCATTGTTGGGAGTGCATATAAGAATTTTAACATGAAAGAATATCATTTTGCTCCGTGGTCACCACAAGCATTATGATATGATATTTAAACGGGGGAAAAAAATCAGGGAATATGTAGGCCTCAGGCTAAAGCTTTTTAAGTAACATACCTAAATTTCATTTATTATATTTTATAGGGCTTGGTGGTTTTTTAGCTCGGAACTTAGAAGAACAATTATTCCGTTGGCTTCGAGCAGCAGAGCTAACTTGTGATCGTGCTGCCCTTCTTGTTGCTCAGGACTCTAAAGTATGGATTTTATTTAACTATAAACCTCTAATTTCATCCGATTCTCTCCCTTCTAATCTGTGATGAATTTTCTTTTTGAACTTCTTTTCTCAACTATTTGATTACTCATTTGCTCCAACAAGAGGTGGTCATCTCTGTTCTGATGAAACTGGCTGGGGGCTGTCCGTCTATAGCTAATCAATTGAATGTGGATGCTTTTTTGGAGCAAGCTCGCTCTTATGACAAAGCTTCTTCAAGCCCCGTAGGCTGGTATATAAGGTGAAAAACTTGTAAGGCGTATAAAGTAGCAAGTTATATCAGTCCCTGTGCGTGTCTAACTTGTTGTGTTTTCAGAAACGCTCAAACAAGACAACTCTCACACCCTCTGCCAGTTTTACGAGCACGTGAGATTGACGACTGGTCAAAAAGTCAAGAATACAAAAATCTTTTGAAGCGTGGAACAAAGATCAATTCTGTTGAGACAGTTTAATGGCCTCGTGTATAGCATCAGAAATATTAACAGTTTAGCAACTTTTATACGGTAAGCGATTCTGAGTTTCTTTATATCCTTTTGTTCTGTGACCTCGATAACCTTATGCATCAATACATCACATGACCATGATCTATTTTTATCTAGTCTACATCACCATGACCTTGTCAACTTTTTTTTTTTTTAAACAACATATTTTCATTGGTATGGTGTGGTGAAATATTCCAAAGGAAGACCCTGATAACCCTAAACATCAATATGATCACACATCTAAGAAAAAAAAAGTGATTAATAGGTCATCTCTGGATTATGAGATCCCACATCGATTGGAGAGAGGAACGAGTACCAGCGAAGACACTGGTCCCTGAAGGGGGTTGGTGGATTGTGAGATTCCACATCGGTTGGAGAGGGGAATGAAGCATTCTGTATAAGGGTGTGGAAACCTCTCCCTAGTAGACGTGTTTTAAAAATCTTGAGGGAAAGTTCGAAAAGGAAAACCAAAAGAGGACAATTTCTAATATCTGCTAGCAGTAGACTTGGGCTTGGGCTTGGGCTGTTATTTGTAACACATTCTAGTGTGAAAAGCATGTTAGTTTTGCAGATTTTACTTTGAAATTTAGGATGGTATCATTTGTTAGGGCACGAGAGTATTTTTCACTAGATTACCATCATCATGCTAAAAAGTAAAACTATTGTTATGATGTATGTCCACCTTGGTTGGTTTAGTATTTCCACTGAAGCTTCAAGTTTCCTCAATGGAATCATTACTATTTACTTCCACGTCCTCGCAGTCGTACACTATCCATTTTACTGTGTTTCATTATTTTGCTTGATTTTCAGGTCATCAAAATGTCAATACAATGAACAATGTACGAAAAGCTCTCCACCATTGGCTATCATGTTCAGAATTACCCAAATAAACGGCTTCTTCTTAGATATACAAGCCAGATATACAGCAGATTTCAGTCGTTTCAGAAGTGGTATATATATATAAATCTTCATTACTTCCACTTCGTTAGCAAATTATACATAGTCTTAGATATGAAGTAATATCAATCTAAATGTACTATACTGTCACAATTACTGTCATTCTATTCTATCTCCACATATTAATGAAGTATGTTTCTTTTGAGACAAATTACGGTGTTTGTTGGTTTTTATTCTGAACTTTCCTCAAAGAAGACAGGTACAGCAATAATACAGGCCTCCTAACTTGTCAAATGTAGAATTCCTGGACTTTTTCCTCAGAGCAAAAAGAGAATTGTAATCAAACGCAGAGGAATCAAGGTCTTCCAGGGCATTAAAATTCTGAGCCCATGAGAAGCACGCAAAAATACATCATCTATGACTGGACCACAGAAGTCCCCATCTTTTGTTTTGGATGTAGTGTAGCTAAGGAAAGTGATTGTATTATCATCAGGAGCTGCATTGAATGGCATGGAGAATTTTACAGCCGAACCTGTTCCGTTGCTCTCCAACGTGAAATTCTGTGACCCCGATCCAGCTTGTACTCCGACAAGAAATTTAGCTTCGCATGAATCGTTAGCGTCGCCAAGCGTGAAATTCAAGGTATATGAACCTGCCTGGAGTTTCACTGCTGCTTGAACTCCTGATGAAGCTCCAGATATCAGCTCTACTGCAGCATTACCTTGTGGAACAAAGAAGTGTTTTGAATTTATGTATCTGACTGTCCCCATTATAGCCCACTGTGCTAGTGGTGAAAAGAGAGGAGTAGGAACTGAATCCAGTAGAACTCCTCCTTCCACGCTTTCGAGAAAATCCGGGCCGAATTCGAATCCTCCATTGACTACTAAGTTTCCTGCATCAATCAAAAGTAGCAGTAAGAAGTTTTCTTACCGACACTAATCCAATCCACCAATGATCATGAGTTTATAAGTAAGGAATACATTTTCATTGGTACGAGGCCTTTTGGGGAAGCCAAAAGCAAAGCCACGAGAGCTTATACTCAAAGTGGATATCATATCATTGTGGAGAGTCGCGATTCCTAACATGGTATTAAAGTCATGCCTTTAACTGGATGTACTTTGTTCGAGGACTCTAGAGAAGGAGTCGAGTCTCGATTAAGGGGAGGCTGTTCGAGGGCTCCATAGACCTCAGGGGAGGCTCTATAGTGTACTTTGTTTTAAGGGAGGATTGTTGGGAGGGAATCATACATTGGCTAATTTATGGAATGATCATGAGTTTATAAGCAAGAAATACATCTCCATTGGTATGAGGCCTTTTGGAGAAGCCAAAAGCAAAGCCATGAGAGCTTATGCTCAAAGTGAACAATATCATACTATTGTGGAGAATCGTGATTCCTAACAGACCTGTCTTTTAACTCACATTTGTGAGGATCTTAGAAATCTACTTACCACTATCTGGCATCACTATACCCATTGTCTTGATATGAAGTGAGTCAATTACAGGCCAACAGGCTGGAGTAGAGTCATTAGCTTGGCTTCCAATTTGCAGGTTTACAGGCTCTTCATCTCCCCAGCTACCCAGAAAAACGCCATGGACCTCCCATGGCTCCTTCCCATAATGCTGGCTAAAGGTAAACATCGCATCACTATCTGGAGCAGAGACTAGCAATGGAGCTGTAGATGAACAATTCTGACCGCCAGGAGCCAGTGCGAAGGTCAGCAGGTAATTCAAAAAGTCTACATCGGCTATGAAGGTCTGGTTGATTCTTCCATCTTCACCCAACAAAATAGCATGTCCTTTTTCTGGCAATGAAATGTTTTGGCTTACTGTTATGTACTCGCCCGTCCCCTGAAATGTCCATCCTGGAATTGTGCTGTTTTCGTTCAGTTTCACTGATGTTTTGTTTGAATTCTCCGGCAGGTTTGACGGCGGAGATTCAAAATCTGAATTCTTCAAAAGTTCTGAAAAAAAAGAACAGAGACAATGTCAGAGGAGACAAGATAGCTGTCTTTAGCTGAACTGGGTAAGACATATATATATATACTCAGACTATCTTCAAATCTTCCAATCACTTGAAATCTAAATTTTTTTATGGGAATATAAACAAATGGCTGATGGTTTTACCTCTGGAGGTTACTCCGGCGGAAAGGAGCAGGAGGAGGAGGAGGGTTTCCGGCAGCCGCCATGGTTGGTTGGAGGAAGAAGGAGAAGGGAACTGCAAAGCCATTGCAGTGTGGAGAAAAAGTGAAGGCGTTGACTTGAAAGTTTCCAAAGGCAGACAGCTATTTCGAGTGGGTAATGTGAGGAGATGGAGCTTTTAATGAATGTGGAAGTACGACCAATCACGTGCCTTTCCACTTGGCCTCGGCCATCCAAATGTCGGTAGATGGGAACTCAAATGGATGATAAATCGGAAAGGAAACTTCCCTTTGGATTAGCTATAAAATGATTTTGAGGTAAAGAGAGAAAGTTTACCTGAAAGTGACTTTTTGGGGCCTTTCTTGAATTATTGCCATATGGCCTGATTCTGTCTTCCTTTTCGTGATAACGTTTTAGATCGGGAGAATTTGAGGCACGTACAGCTGGAGCAATGTATACAAGGGGAGAATTATATCGTTGTGATTGAAGAGGATTGGCTTTGTTCGAGCCAATGGTACGTAGTCCTCTCTTCAATTTGTAGGAAAAGAAATAGTTTATTGATTATATCGGACACATGTTTAGATTATTTATTTGTGATTCATATCTATTTTCACTTCATTACATTTAAAATTGGTTTTCAAGATTACTAATTGATTCATTATAAAGCAAATATCTAGATATTTGCACATTAGGGTTACCATATTTGCCATTTTATTAAAGGTAAATATATTGTATTCATTTATTATTCTTTCCTTTTTGTTGTTATTTCCATATTATTTATAATTTACCATGTTTCTGTATTAATAGAACTCTCACTATCATTTAGGTGCATTGGATTCAGCAATCATTTACAACAATATATACCAGGGGAGAATTATACAGTTGTGATTGAACAGGACTGGTTTTGGTTGTGGGAAGTTTTTAGTTATGGTACGTACTCCCCTCTTCGCAATTTGAATGATTTGTGGTGAATTTTTTTTTTTAATCTTTTTATCAATTAAAATTTTAGACTTTAAATGAGCCACCTTATTTAAATTTTAACCAAGTAGTAAAATTAATATAAATGTTGTGACTTGAAAAACTCTTGATAAAAAGGGTGAATTAGGACTCAAAATGAGTAAAACTAAGCGTTCAACTAGACAAAATAGGTAGGTTTGAATTCCTACTTTTGGTAATATAAAAATGTAATAAAAAAAATTTAATGGCGAGAATTTGTAGTCAAACTAAATTATTGTTCAGCCAGTCAAATATTAGTAACATTTATTATAGATATAGGCTTAGATTTTTCAAAAAAATCCTACTTGAATTAAATGTAAATTTGAATTAGGTTTATATTGAATGATTTATGTTTACTATTTTATTATTATTTTTAAGTTAAATTTTAAAATGAGTTTTTATTTTTTTAATTTTAATTTAATAATTGTAGAGACCTGAATTAAACCATCAATATTTTTTTAATGATTATTTGTGTTTTTATTAATTGAATTATGTTTACATGAAACTTCCCAATATATATATATATATATATATATATAATCCTAATTCCCATGCCCCATTGTCACCATTTCATGGATATCATAATCTCTCTCTTCTCCATCTCCATTTTCATCTTCCTCCTCCTCAAATTCCGGCCACCCGCCGCCCTCTTTTCCAGCCACTCTTCTCCGTCGACGTACCCTCTCATCGGCTGTCTCCTCTCCTTCTACAAGAACCGCCACCGCCTGTTGGATTGGTACACTGAGCTCTTGTCCAAATCCGCCACTGGCACTATTGTCATCCGCCGCCTCGGCTGCCGGCGGACGGTGGTGACGACGAACCCAGTTAATGTTGAGTATATTTTGACTACCCATTTCCTTAATTTTCCTAAAGGGAAACCTTTCACTGAGATTTTGGGCGACTTTCTTGGCTGTGGAATTTTCAATGTCGACGGCGAGCTATGGCGGACACAGCGGAAGCTGGCTAGCCATGAGTTCAGTGCCAAGTCGCTGCGGGAATTCGTCGTCAAGACATTGGAGTTGGAGGTCGAGAATCGGTTGTTGCCGACTATCGAAGCTTCGGCTCGAGATAATGTAGTCGTTGACTTACAGGTATAATAATGTCAACTTTAAATATAAACTCTCGTGTCTTTACTTTTAAATACTAACGAGAATATATTAAAATTGAGTGAATTAAATTGAAAAAAAAAAGGTTAAAGGTTTTAAAGTTTTGGTAGGTTTTGTAAAAATTTCTAGCCTTGCCTCTGCTCGCAGGAGTTACTAAGAGGGTTTGCATTCAGTGTAATATGCAAGGTTTTATTGGGAGGTGAAGAAGAAGCCATTTCCGAGCTCGAAAAGAGCTTCGATGTAGCGTCGGAGGTGAGCGCCGGGCGGGCGACGAAGCCAGTTTACATGATATGGAAACTGAAGAGATGGTTTGGTGTCGGGTCGGAGCGGCGGTTGAAGATGGCGGTGGCGGAAGTTCACCGGAAGGTGATGAACATCATTGAGAAGAGAAAGAAGAAGAAGAAGATCCAGGATTTCCATGACAGCGAAGATCTCTTGTCCTGGTAACCAACTACATGATTCATCAAATCATAATATTAAAAATATTATTACTCACATGCTATTAATATATATATATATATATATTAAAAACATTTATTACAAATATTACTACTCACATGCTACATAGATAAATAATTTTAAAAGTTTAGGTTAGAGTATTTATTATATTTTAAAAGTTATTGAAACATGGCACTACCATTGTATCGATATACTGATCCTAAGAAGTTATAGATGTCTCTAAAACTTGGAACTAGTGGTTTTTTGTAAGAGTATTTTTAAACTTTTTAAAAAAATTTAAGGTATTAATACGAGTCTAGGTTTGGTTTGCTGGTCTGAAACCTCTAGTTTCTTGATCAAGAATATATGTCAAACAAATAAACTATACATTAGTTGACGTTTTTAATAGAGTTTTAATCTTTATACGCTATCCAAACTCTTCAATTTTTAGTCTTCTTAACTTAGTGTTGAACATGAATTAAATCTATATTTTGCTAGGTTGATCTCTGTTGGCCATGACGACGAGGTAATTCGAGACATGGCCATAAGCTTCATCATGGCAGGTCGAGACACGACATCGGCTGCCATGACATGGCTGTTTTGGCTACTAACCCGTCACCCCAACGTCGAGAAACAATTAGTAGAAGAGATAAACTTTGAATCAACTTTGGTTGTCGAAAAGAAATTTGATTATAAATCTCTCAAGGAGCTCAAATTTCTCAAGGCATGCCTTTGCGAAACCATGAGACTGTACCCGCCAGTCCCATGGGATTCCAAGCATGCCATTGTCAATGACTGCTTGCCCGACGGGACTCCAGTTCAAGCTGGAGACAAAGTGACATATTTCCCATATGGGATGGGTAGGATGGAGGAAGTATGGGGAAAGGATCGGTTCGAGTTCAAGCCGAGCCGATGGCTGCTAGAACCAGAGGGTCGTGGACGGAGAAGAGGCGTGAAATTAGTGAGTCCATACAAGTTTCCAATATTTCAAGCCGGGCCAAGGGTGTGTTTAGGAAAAGAGATGGCTTTCATTCAGATGAAGTACGTAGTAGCTTCAATTCTCAGTCGATTCAGAATCAAACCCATTGCCACCGCTGCCGCCGCCGCCTCCGACGACCCTGTGTTTGTGCCGCTGCTAACGGCACACATGGCCGGCGGCTTCAAAGTTCTGTTTCAGAGGAGAGAGAAAGAGAGAGAGAATTCAAAACATACAAAATTCCCAATTTAAACATTCAGAAGAAGAGTCAATTCAAACGATTCCAACACAGAACTGACAGACAACAGTGTTGAAAAACATACATGAATTCAGAAACCAAGAACAGTTTTGAATGTCACCATTTCCATTTTCTTATAATAAATTCACAATAATATTATGAAATGAATAAAAAACTCATTCAAGTCCAGAATTGTTTACCTTTTGAAGATTCCTCCCGGATAAACAATAAACAAAATTGTAGCGACCCAGACCCACCGCTAGCAAATATTGTCCCCTTTAACTTGTTTTTTTAGGCTTCCCCTCAAGGCTTTGAAATGAGGGGAAGGTTTTCACACCCTTATAAAAGATGTTTTGTTCTCCTCTCAACCAACGTGGAACATCACAATCCAGCCCCGACCTCAAGGCTTTGAAACGAGGGGAAGGTTTCCACACCCTTATAAAAGGTGTTTTGTTCTCCTCTCAATTAATGTGGAACATCACAATCCAACCCCGACCTCAAGGCTTTGAAACGAGAGGAAGGTTTCCACACGCTTATAAAAGGTGTTTTGTTCTCCTCCCAACCAACGTGGAACATCACAATCCACCCCCCTTCGGGACCCAACGTCTTCACTGGCATTTATTCCTATCTCCAATTGATGTGGGACTGCCATCAAATCTACACCGTTTCAGGACCCAACGTCTTTACTGGCACACTGCCTCGTGTCTACCTCCTTCGGAGAACAGCAAGAAGACCGACACATCGTCCTGTGTTTAACTTTGATATCATTTGTAACAACCCAGACTCACCGCTAACAAATATTGTTTTCTTTGGCTTTCTCTTTCGGGAGGGCTGCCCCTCAAGGCTTTAAAACGAGGGGAAGGTTTCCACCCCCTTAGTTTTCCCACAACCAAGGATGTCACAAAAATCATAATCAATTGGCTTGAACAGACATTGCTGAATCACCCCTCATGGTGGTCTCTCAATCTCAACTTTCAAAGAAGATCTCAGCTATTAAACAATCTGGAGAAAATCTTCACATAAAAATAGAAAAAACAGACAGCCATTCATCTTGGTCAGCTCAACATTGCTCGATTTCCATACGATATAATACTATTAAATGGTTTTGATCGATCTAATCGAGGAACAGATCGACGAGCTCGAATTTTCAAGAAACATGATGCTCTAACAAAAAAATCTTAACTTTATATGGTTGCAGATTCTACTACAAGAAACCTTCCATTCTACAACAAAGGATGCTCTAAGAAAATGACTGAAGAAACCATATGTTGTTCATGAAGCATTTTCATCAATGCCCTTTTGAACTAAGGAGCATGATTTTCGGAATTCACATACCATATGCGTCAAGGAAGCGTTCGCAATGATCGGGTGTTCACTAATAAACTAAAGGGTGTCGGTCATACAGGTATCTAAAAATGGCAATCGTCGATAGCAGCTCAACACGATCACAGTCATGTACTTCCAGGTGCGTCGCTTCCTGCAGTTGGCTTTTGATTTATGTACCGGATGACAGCATCTTCAACCCTGTTTAATCAACCATGAACTTTAAAATTCGAGCTCGAAATGATGAAAGGAATATATAACAGGCAATATCCCCATACTAGAATCTTTAACCCATTGAAAATTCTGTCTGCAAGCTAAAAGCTGGAAGAATAATCTCTTTTGAGAAAAGAGATAAAAGAGATAGAGAACACAACGTATAGCAAAACAATGCGGTTAAATGGAGCCTTAATGGTTTATATATATATATATATATATATATATATATATATGTATGTGTGTGTGTGAGAAATCCCATATCAGTTGGAGAGGAGAACGAAACATTCTTTATAAGGGGGTGGAAACCTTTCCCTAATAGATGCGTTTTAAAACCTTGAGGGGAAGCCCGAAAGGGAAAGTCCAAAGAGGACAATATCTACTAGCGGTGAGCTTGAGCTGTTATAAATGGTATCAGAGCCAGACACCGGGCAATGTGCCTGCAAGGAGGCTAAGCCTTGAAGGCGGGTGTACGCGAGGGGGTGTGCTAGCAAGGACAGTGGGCCCCAAAGGGAGGTGGATTGGGGGGTCTCACATTGATGGAAGAAAGGAACGAACGCTAGGCCCCAAAGAGGGTGGATTATGAGATCCCACATCGGTTGGGGAGGAGAACAAAACATTCTTTATAAGGGTGTGAAGACCTCTCCCTAGCTGACGCGTTTTGAAAACCTTGAAGGGAATCATGAAAAGGAAAGTCCAAAAAAGACAATATCTACCAGCGGTGGGCGTTTTAAAAACCTTGAGGGGAAGCCCGAAAAGGAAAGCCCAAAAAAGATAATATCTGCTGGCGGTGGGCTTAGGCTGTTATAGTCTACTTATAAATCCACTTACCGCTATGAATTGTTAAAGAATGAATACAATGATAAGAAGTATAAACAGCAGTTGGAATTGAGAAGAAACTTACCATGGTTGATGGAAGAAATCCGACCGGCGCTCCTTTTCAGGATTTCGGCTACCTTCACCTGCAAGAAGTTTAAGATCCTTGCTTTGAGAATCAATCAGGGCATCAATAAACTCCACCGGTGACTGACTGAACCCAAGGAAAAATGCTCGTCTTCGTCGATGCTCATGAATTTTTCTTATAGCTGTACATATTGCTTCGTCACACGCATTGATCTCCTTGTTCTTCTCTGCATTGGCTAAAAGAGCAGACAATTCCCTGTGAATTGGAAAAGGCACATCAACCAACACATCATAACATGCTGTACCCACTGGACTATTCCCTGAAAGCTTAATCTTATGCTCCAAATGTATAGGCTGCGGAGGGAACAAATGTTGTGATATTCTCTGTGAAACCATGGTGAATTTCATCTTGTCTTCCCCAAATACCTTCTGAAGAGGTTGATCACAATGAAAGATAGACGGATCGTTGGGATTCTGAAGTTTCCTAGCCTTTACATAATGCCAGATTGCAGCTATTATTCTCGGGCGAGTATCGACTTCAATACCAAGAACTTCCATTAAAGCAGGCGATAGCTTGAACTTCTCTGGAATATAATTCATTTCTAATCGAATGTTGACCGAAAATTCTTTATCCCCTTTTCTCTTCACCTCAAAGCCCTCATTCGGTGCAGGCGACCGAGCGTTTTCCCATACTATGATATGACTATCTGGATATAACCTCTGGTCCAAGGAAATGGTTACTCTCTTGAAGAAAGCTGAAAATTTTGGGTACAAAGGATTTGATCTTTGTACCACCCCGGGATGATCCGGATCGATCCCATCTTCCAAAATCCTACCTATTATCTTAAGGGTCCAGGTAGGAGGATCAGCATTTGGTTTTCGGGGAATTGTGTTAACTTGATTTGCAGATGTGTTGAAGACATAAATCCGAAGAGTTTTCTGAATGCAAGGCGGGTTTTTAAGTGCTTCATGGATATCAACTTTCTTTCTTGCAAGTGCAGCATCGACACGAGACTCGAACTCAAGCAGCTGAGTGTAGAGAGCAGACTCTGGTAAGATAGCAGCAACTTTTTCTTGAAGCTGCTTCTCAGGTAGTTTCTGCTTCTTTTTCCGAGCAGCAGGGGTGAGTTCCATTGTTCTCAACGGCGAAAACGGGGTAGCAGGGGAAAGAATAGGCGGTCGAACCGGTGGCTTTTGAGGAATTCGCTTCACACCTGCAAGGCCAGGTGTGGAAAACCCCTGCAAAGGAGAACCCATGTTCCCACCACCAATACCCTGGCTCTGAGTTAGGGATAGCCCTTGTGCTTGTAAATGAGCTTGAAACTGGGCGTGAGCTGCTTGTGCTTGAGCTTGGGCATGAGCCTTCAACTGAGCTTGGGCCAAAGCCTGAGCAGGGGTTAGCTGAAATGGAGTTTGAAACCCAGCTCCTAATTGAGATTGAGCTTGCGGCTGTGGAAATGAGGAATTTGCAGCCATAGATGGCGGAATTATCCCAGAATTTCCAAAAGGCGACGAAGAAACCCCTCCAAGGCTCTTCGGTGGGTTATTATTGTTCATATTGTTCATAGACATCAGAACCAGAATCGAAAGAATCAAAGCATATCTCAGACGTTTGATCCACTACAAAAACGAAAAAACCAAACCTAACAGTACGCAAATTCCAGATTCTTCGAAGAAATAGAGCAGCAGAAACAGAATCGAAATCTCAAAATTCCAGAAAATCGAGGGAAGGCCGAAAACCCTAACACGGCATCGAGACGTCAAAAACCCTAGCACGAAACACAGAGTTGCAGAAGAGGAGAAACGAGGAAAATCAGAATGAAAATCGATCAGAATACACGAACCACATCAGAAAAAGAAAGGGGAGCATGAATTGAAGGGTTTGGGAGATGAAATTGAAGGAAAAAACAGAAGAGATCGAAATTGAAATTGAGTAAAAGGGAAAGTGGAGTGAATTGTAGGGCTTACAGAGATGAAGGAGTGACTGGAAGTGAAGCTTTCTTGCTGTAAGCTTAGAACATAAACAAAAATGGTGGGAGTTGGTTTCAAATAAGCGAGAAGAAGAAGAAGGAGAAGAAGAAAAAGCTTTTCTTCTTTCTTCTCACTGTTCGTCTATCTCTCTTTGCATTTTTTTTTTCTCTGTAAAATTAAGGAATTTGTAAAAAGGGTAAAATTGTCCGCCGTCCACATTTTTCGTCCGGTTCAACCAAACCGACCGGTCCGACCCATGACTTTTTTTTTCTTCTTTTCGTATTTCTTTTTTTTTTTTTTCCATTTTCCGGTTTATTTATTTATTTATTTATTTATTTTCCAAGAATTTGTCTTTTACACTTTGAAAATTTTTATTTTACGTTTGAAATTTTTGTTTAAAAGATATCTTCAAGGAATTTTCATTAAAATAATATAAAAATTGGCATAACAACAAATGTATAAAAATTAAAAAATTTAGAATTAAGAGGTGAAAAAATTAATTACATAAATTATTTTACCGAGAAGAATGAAACTTTATTTTACCGAGAAGGATGAAATTTGTGTCTATTTAGTTGAATTTTCAAGTGTTTCGTGTTCAATATATTACTCAACTTTTAATTTTGTCAAATAAATCAACAAATTCAAAATTTTAAAATTTTAATTAATAGTAGATATAAATTTTACTTTTATGTCCAATAGAATCCTAAAATTTTAATATTTATGTCTCGTAAATCAATGAGTGGAGATGTCTCGTAAATTAATAGTAAAGGCGAGGGAGTGGAGAACGTTTTTTTCCCATTAAATAAATGAGGTGGGGACTATTATATTTTTCATCCCTATCCCTATCCCTATTTCTATCTCAACCCACTTAATATAAATATATTTTCAACTCAATATATATATATATATTAAAAATTACGTTGTAATATTAAAATTTGAGTTATTAGAAATTATAATCGTAGAATATAATTTATGAGATGTACTGTATTATTTGAGTTTTTTTTTTACCATTTTTAAATAAATATCATAATGAAAATAAAAATTTTTAGATAACTATTTTTAAATTTTTTTAAAAGTTAAAAAACGAAGAAAAAATTACCTACGGGAACCAGATCCTTACAAATTTTCGTGGGAATTTTCGTGGGATGAAAAATGAAGTAGGTGGCAGGAACGGAGACGAGAGAGCTTCCCTATCTGTGCTCCACTCTATAAACATCTCTAGTCAATTATCACACAATTTCTCATTTTTAGTTTCTCAAAGAATACAAAACGAAGAAAAATTAGCTATGGGGAATTTGATCCTTGCAAATTTCCTGCACAAGGGATTTCCGCAAACATAAATGGAGAATTTCGTGGGATGGAAAATGAAGTAGGTGGTAGAAATGGGGACGAGAACTGAAAAAGAACGCATCAATTCTCATTTTTAGTTTCCCAAACATCCTTCCACTGTTAACAACAAAAAGAACTGAAAAAACAAAATACGTGATATCTATTCTAACCCTCCAACGTTTAGCTTCTAAAATAACTCATAAGATACAAGGCTTTAGACAGATGATCAGCATAATTCAAACTCGTCTCATAAGATACTACTTACTAGATTCGATTCTGGTTGACGAGTAGGGTGGTTTCTATTGGATACATATAACAAGCTGCTAGCAACCTGACTACAATCAAATGCCTATCAACATCTAAAATTCCCAAACTATATTGCAACACATTGCAACTAAAATGAAGGTTTTACTGATTCACTCCTGCAACACAAAAGTATAAGAAGAACAAATAAAATGCCAATGAAGTTAGTTCAATCATCTACCTCTCACACTTTCTTATTCTCTTTTCACGAAACATCCATCCCTTCCCTTGCCCCATCGAGACATAGCACTAACTAATCCTAAGACAAAGGGGCGTGTCAAATCAACATACCCAACAAGCATTAGTTCTCCTTAAAAAAAGGAGGTGATCCAGCAGCACTTTTCAGTACGGTTACCTTGTTACGAAAAGAGTTTTGTGGGAAAAGAAATCCATCAAAAAGTTGTTACAAAAAGAACAAAAAAAAAAAAAAAAGTAAAGATTTACCTTTGAAGGATCTTGCTTTTCTTTCCTTCCAAAACCGCCACAAAAGAGCTCAAGAGCACAACTCCACAAAAGAGCTTGGGCTTTACACTTCAGATTCCACACATTTAGACCTTATATTAACCAACATCTGTTGGACCATACCTAGAACTCAAGGACAGAGATAATATAACCAAGGAACAGAGAAGATTCAAACTAAGTCATTTATAAGCACAAGCTCAAACTCAACAACCTAAAGATTATGACACCAAGAAATTTGATCAAAATCAAATAAGTTCATAGAAGAATTTCAAGATGGCTTGTTAAGAATGGAAATGGGAGAACAAAAGTTCCTTTCCTCCTCAAGAAAGAAGAAAATGATGCTGGTAGCCCTGTGTCATGTACCAGCCAGAAGGGTGGAGTTTTATTTTTTGCTGTCAAAAGTATGAAACATAGCAAGTTAGTGCTATTTAAGAATCCATTTCAGACCATGTATTAATGGCCCAACAGCAAAGAGAATCTAAATGAGAACACCTTTCAATACTAAATCGGCATATACTCGAACTTATAGAACAGATCCTGGGTACAACTTATAGATGATATCATATTCACGTAATGGCCATGGACACATGCTTAAACTTAATATCTTAATATCTAAAACCAAGAAATATGATCGTTTCATGGATACATGAAGATGTAGAATGCGTGATGACAATTGAGTTTTGGGTGGGAAGGTCCCCCGACATCAGATATCTCTCTGCATTTTCCTTCACAGAAAAAAGAGTATCATGAAAAAAGAGGAGCTTAGCAGAAGTATTTGGAAGACATCAAATGTCATATTAGCACAAATATGCTTAAAGAAAATATCGAAAACAAAAGTACAAATAGAGAGTTTTCACTTTAATCTCAAAGTTATGATGCAAGTTTACAGATATCTTCATATTCAACAGCCTTAAGCACCCGGCCATCGTATACACCCTTTTCTATTTGCACTTTAGCACAAAACTTATCGGTGTCAACACCCAACAACCTAGCATTCGATCCACGATATGCCCCATTCACTATCCTGACTAAGCCACCAATTTGGGGTATCACTGTTTCTAATTCTTCTTGATCAACTCTCAACACATGCTTTCCATCAAGCGTTTCAATCTCTCCAACATATTTATCAATCACCTTTCGCACAACTCCCTTCTGTTTATAGTATCCCATCTCAGCCAAATTCTTACTCATGACCTTCACAATTATTCCCTCACACAGCCAGTAATCCTTTCTATTAATCTTCTCCTTCTTCATCTCTTCTTCTCTCATCAACGCCTCCAAAGCTGACAGACCACCGCTACCCATCTTGTTTTTGGAAGTCTCTCCAGGTTTCCCCTTGGCAGTCTCACCATTCTCATCCTCATCAAAAACCACCCTGGAACTCTCTCCTTTCTCCTTTAATTTTGATGTTGTTCCCAAAGAAAATCCAAGCTTAACACCACTATCCAATTTTAACTCCCTCGTTTGTTCAGCCTCCAAAGGCTCAGCAGATACAGAAGCCAAAGGTGCTAATTGCTCAGCCCTCTCAATTTGCTTCTGTATCTCTCTCTCTTGCTTCTCTTCTTCAGCCAAATCTGCCCTCATCCTCTTGTTTTTCATTTTCTCTTTAAAAAGCGTCTCTGAATCTCTATCAATGTAAGTAATGAACCAACCCTTGGGAGTCTCGTCCACCTTACACTGCCCTGTTCGACCCAAGTGTTTTACAAACTCAGTGAGAGTAGCCCACTGCGTTGAATTCATATGAATATGATGTCTGTCATTAATGTATTCATTGTAGACTACTGTAGCTGCCACACGACTGAACCGATGGCTACGCTTAATGTGCTCCATGAAAGATCTCTCAAACTCTTCAGAATAACCTTCAACAATACGATGGGGGTTTTGACCAAAGATCTGCATTTGGCGTTGATGGCTTTCACTCATACAGTGACATTTAAAGCCATTTTCATCACGGCACTGCTTCTGACACATCTGACAATACCATCTGAGCTTCTGGAGCCCTTTTGCCTTGATTCTGTTTGCGATCGCTTTAGGGGTTAGAAATTCGTTCTTCCCCATTGAGATTCTCGAAATTTCCTTGAGAAGATAGCAAATCCCTGAATATAGAGAAATTAGGGTTTTTTTCTATTTGAAATGTACAGGACAATCCGATCCTCAACTAATTTTACTATGTTATCCAAAAAATAATAATAATAAAAGAAGGGGGAAAAAAAACCCTAAAAACCTCAGCGGCGAGCGGCTGAGAGATGGAGCTCGGTGACATTATAACCTTTTAAATCAAGAACATGAAATACAAATTATATGGACGTCGCTCTTAATTCCATAAATTCAAAGCATCATCGGTTAATTCGAGGGAGAGAACTTCCAATTTTCAAAAAACAGAAAAAAAACCAAACAAAAACCACGATCCACTTTGTCGCAACAAATCAAATGGCAATCAGAACAGCCAAATACACAACCACGTCTGTTTTCCTTTTCTCGTTGCCATTCGGCGATCCTTAATATATATATGAAAAAAAACAAAACAAAACAAAAAATGAAACAACTCTTCGGTTCTTCCATTGGAAGATCCTAATTCGTGTTTTTCAAGTGAGAAGAAAGCCATAGACGGAGATTGGAAGAATACCAGTAGCAACCAGAGAGTAGAAAACCGATGAAGGATGCGGCGGCGGCGACACTGAGCGTGAGAGAGGCAGCGGCGGCACTGAGCTGAAATGGAGAAGGAGACCTCTGAAGAAGAACTGGGGTTGCAGCCGTGAGTGGGAGGAAGATTTAGAAGGTTTTGCCTCTTTCTTTTATTTATTTAAGTTATTTCTTTTTATAAATATCTAAAATTTAGCTTTTATTTTATTTAAAATTTCCTACAAACATCTTTTAGATCTACGGTTCATGTGACCCGACAATTTGGTCGATCAACCGGACAACTCAACCTAACCAGACAACTCAATCCAATCTGAAGATCGAGGGTTGAGTTGACTTGAATTGTGAACTCAGTTGTAAACTCTATTCAAGTTGCTCGAGTCACCGGTTCAACTAAAAATTTTGGATTGTTTTAAAAAAAATTCAAACAAGTTGGCTTGAGTTCTCGAGGGGAGTTGACTCAAGTGATGGAGTCAAGATTTTGGAGACGAACTTCGAAAAAAGAAGAATTTGGATTTGAACGTGAAACTGTGTTAAACTAAGAGAATCCAGATACAACTTGAATTTTTGAAAAAACGTAGGGCCGAGATTCAAGAAATGAGATATATTGTTATCACCTGATCTTCACATGATAACAATAATAAATTTGTTTTACATGGGACGTCGTGACGTACAAAGCCGAAGAAATCGAGGGTTTAGAGCTAGAGAATTAGTGTAGTGTCCCTACTTTCGTGCTTCAAGATATCGTAAAACGTTTCAAACTTCAAGATTACAACTATTTAGTGATTTCACTGTAAAAAGTTTCAACCATACATCGAAACTCCGATATAACGTACCGACAGGGATCCATTCAATTATCCGACCTCACTCGAACCGTTAAGTTTACCGAATCTAACACAAGCATAGTTAACACTTCAATAGAAACTGGTCTCAAGAAAAACATCTTCATATGATCAAGATGATCCACCCACAGCTTCTTCATTGGAAGTGAACAACAAAAGAGTATATCGAGATGATAACTGTTAACGACACACGACAGGCAGCCCACGGTGAGCTGAAAAACCGAAAAAAGATGCCATGTCCTATAAGAAACGTGATAGGCAGCTCACGTCCAAGAAGAAACCGAAAAACCGACCAAACAAATGACACGGGACATTGGTTTCAACAAGCTTGTCTTAAAGACAATCAGAAAAGATAAATTCAGCAAGCTTGTCTTGTAGACAATCAGAAGTTAACAAGGCTAGAAACAGTTCATGCTATATAAGACCGAGAGAATAGCGACCGACCTCGAAAATAAACGATAAACCTATTGAGAATACCGAATGAGGCATTCGTTTTATTCACTCCGACACCAAACAGAACGAACATGGTATGATGAGAGCTTAATTCAAGCGACCATGACACAGCAGTTTAGAATAAAGGGGCTGAGATGGTTCGTGCCACAGTAGAGACGCCTCCACCGCAACTGCTCGGCCCTTGGATCCGGGATGCAAGTGTATATGCTCATGGAATTGTTTGTAGATGATTCCGAAGATGAACCGATGACCAGAAGTTCATCTCCGAGCGACTTGAATGCAACTCCCCAACCTTTGTTAACAACAGAGAGCACTGGAACTGGACCCAGGTTCTTCCATTCATTTCTGTCTTTTAAATACACCTTCAGCTGGTTTGAAGACGGTTCGAGTGAGTAGAGCTCGTTGTTCACGACTGCAACAAGAGGAGGCGATTGAGAAGTCGATATTGGAGCATCTTCGAGCATGTTTTCGATCAAATCCCAAGAGTTTTTCTTCTCGTCGAAGACTTCGCCGCAAGTGAGATGGTTTCCATCTCTGTCTCTTCCTCCAATGACATAGAACTTGTCATCCATGAAACAACCCGAACACTTCTTTCTTGCTCGGTGCATGTCCGGGAGAGGCTCCCACGACAAACTTTCGGGATTATACTTCTCGGCCGAGTTCAAGACAGTTTGACCGTATTCCATTCCCATACCGAAAGCACCTTCCGAGCTGAACTCTAGAGCAATGCCTCCAGCAACAAATGCATTGGCACCACAAGTAGCAGATGCAAACAAACACCTTGGATTCATCATTGAAGGGCCTTTGATCCATTTGTTCCCTACAAGCTGATACCTCCAAATGGTAGCTCCTGTAAGTTCTCGACCCGTAACGATGAGATCCGTGCCTGCACAAAGCGATTCCTTATCTGCATCCAAAAAGCAGGCATCTGATGGCAGGATAGGAAGCCTACGACACGACCGAAAAGTCCGATCGAACATCATCCAGCTACTCTCCCCACTAGCTAACATGAAAACAGATGCCTCTTTGTATCCAATTTCTTTCCTAATTGCAAACAGTTCACCACTCTTCACAAGATCTAAGTATCTCTTGCTCACACAAGACAACCTCCATTGCTCACATTGGGGAAACCGAGCCAAGATCGAAAGCTCCAACTCGTCACCGAATAAAGGAACCGAATAATCTGCATCCTGAGGTTTCGAACCAGAGGATTCACCAACACCAGAGTCCCCAGCCAATCGTGGTGTGGAACTACAGGCTACTAAGTCCCCATACACCATCTTTTTCTTCTTCCTCAAACCACTATCACACCTACACAAGCTCTCTATTCCTTGTTCTTCGCCCACTAAACCTTTACCTTTAAACATGGATCTAACACTGCAAAGCCAAGAAACAGGAACAAAAAAAGAGCGAATATCCAATCAATTGATCAGTTTCTAGCCCTTGCTCCACCAAAAGCAAGACACACTCTCACAAAGACCAAGGAGACAAACGGAAGCACAAAGATCCCAAATCACTTTCAGTCAGGCAAATAATCAAACACCTTATGTGCAAGTCCAAAAAACAACATCCAGCAGGCAAAAACAGATACAAAATCCACTCCAAAACCACAGAACACAGAGATTTCAGCCAGTTCCAAGCTCACCCAAACACCAAATCAATCATAATACAAGAAACCCAGATGGGAAATCATGAAAAACAAATCAAAAAACCATCCAGCAAATGAAAATCGCAAAAGGGGTTTACCAGAAAAGTGAAGCAGAGCCAAATCCGTGAAGAAATGGCCAAAAGGGTATCAGAAACTCAAAGAACCGAACCCTCAAAGCCGCTAGGGATTGGAAATGGGAAGTGGGGGAAGAAGAAGAAGGAGAAGAAGTAGAAGAAGAAGAAGAAGAAAAGGAGCCATTAAAGCAAAGAGAAGAACGAAAGTGAAGAGAGCAGGTGGCGATGGTGGTACTAATAATGGTGGCAGAGGAACAGTAGACAACTCGAACACCACACACCACAATACAATATACAATACAAACCTACTTTTATGAGAAGATTAAAGGTATAAATTAGTTTAAAATGGGCACTACATGAACAGCACCAACAAGATCCAAAGGCCAATTGCTACACAATATGATATTGGGTAGAGAGAAAAAGGGGAGATTCTGATTCTTACTGCCTGCCTGTTCTTCAATTTGTTCCTTTTTGTTTATGGGAAGAGAAGAACTGGCTGAACACAAATCTATCGAACACTTCATATTAAAAAAAACACACCACTTTTCTCTATTAGATTCGATGATTTTGGAACGAGAGGAATGGATTTCCAACTCATTTCTTACTCGGATTTCCATTTCTAGTATAGTTTAACTCTAATTAACAATTATCGAAAATTTAAAATTGGGTACGACAATATACATTTTTTTTTTTGAAGAAACGTCCTTGAATCAAGGGGTGTTTTTTAAATTTTCGGGCTTTTCAATATGACCCATTGCCAAAAAAATATGTACCGTTGACTTATTGTAATTTTTTTTAGATGAGTTACGTGTGAAAGCAAAAATAGTCACAGTGGTCGTGAATTGTTGATTGATTAGAGCTTAAAAAGTGTATGATGGGTTCGAGATGACTCTTGTGGAGAGGATGGTCAAGAAACGGTTAGAAGAATTGAAAGTTACTGTTTATACTAATAAAGTGTACTTTTCTTTTCGGTAGCTTAGTTATAGGACCTTCGAAGTTTATCGTGTTTTTTTATCTTGAAAGGATTTGGGTCGGTACGTGGGTATAGTTTTCGCTTTTACAACCGAGAAGTAAAATTTTTCTAAAAAGCATGTGAAGACAAAACATCATTTTTCAGTCTTAGAACTCGTGTTGGTTCGTAAGAATAGTTTGCATTCACAGGGGACGTACAGAATGTCGAGCACACAACTACTGAATCCATACTCAAGAACCGAACATTTTTTTTGGATTAAACCTCTGATCTTAACAAACGAAGCAGATGTTTTAACTATCACTAAGCTCGTGTCGATATTGGTGACTCGAACAACTCGAATAACGTTCACAACCCAACCCAACTCAACCCTGTGTTTTTTTTTAGGTTTTTTTTAAAATTATTTTTAAAAAATCAATTGATCGAGGACATATATTACATTAATAACTAAAATATCATAAAATTCAAATATTAAGCATTCACAAGCTAGAACGCATCACTAACATCGGTTACAATCGTCAAATATAAACATCGGTTACGAACGAATAGTAACCCTATTTTCAGGTAGGTCAGGTTGACGTGCTGATATACCAAAAAAACTATAAACCTACAAACCGACCCGAACTTTTTTCAATTTTTAAATAATTCAATCGAAACTAAACTAAAAAAAATTTAATCTTCATAATTTGAATCAAATAGTTCAGGTTGGTTAAATTATCGAGTAATCGAACACTCGTTTAAGCAATTTTTGGGTAAATAAATAAATATGCAAAAATGTAAGGGGCAATTATTTATTTACTTAAAAGTGACACGACTACTAAATGACATGAATTCTGAATATGATAATTAATTAATTAATTAATTATTAATTTATTTTCTTTTTCTTTTTCTTTTTCTTTTCCACTTTATTGAAAGAGAATAAAATCATTCTTTTGACCAATTAAATTTATTCCCATCTTCTCAATTTTTTTTAATAATTAATTTCTTTTTTTTAATTTCAATGTACTTTTAGAATTAAATTATATAAAATATGAAGTGGAGTCATATTTTAAAATAAAAACTTTATTTATTTATTTATTATTATTATTATTATTATTACTTTTTAATTAAAACTTCGAAGTTAAAATAAATTTTTTTTTTAATGATAATATTGGAATAAACTTTATAGTTAAGAGACGAGTTTTTTTAAAAATAAATTTTATAGTTAAAATAATGTCTAATAAGTTTCTAAACTTTTAATTTTTTATTTAATAAACTTTTAATAAATTGTTAAATAAATAAATTATTAAATTATTGAGCTCAATCAATTCTAGAGTTTTAGTTCTATATTTTTTAAATTTAATTTATAATATTAAATATATAAATGAAAAAAAATTAAATTAATAAAAATATTTTTAAGTTTATTAAGAAGTTTGATTAATACTATTAAAATTTTAAAAGAATTCTAAAAACAACTTTTAATTATATTCCGAAAATATTTTTAACTTTAAATTTTTTTAAAAAATTCAAAAATACCCTAAAGTCAACGAAAATTAAAAATTCTTACAAAAACTCAAAAATATTTTTTTAAGAATTTTAAAAAATTAAAAACTATTTTTTAAACAAAATATTAAACGTTTTAAATTAACAATGAGAGTATTTTCAAATTTTTTTAAAGGTTTAAAAATAATTTTTAAAGATTTTTTTTTTTTTTTTTTTTTTT